ATAAATATCATACGTTGTCATAATTTGTGACATAAGTTATGAGTTAAGAAAATAAATAACTTAAGTTATCAAAATAAATATCATACGTTGTCATAATTTGTGACATAAGTTATGAGTTAAGAAAATAAATAACTTAAGTTATCAAAATAAATATCATACGTTGTCATAATTTGTGACATAAGTTATGAGTTAAGAAAATAAATAACTTAAGTTATCAAAATAAATATCATACGTTGTCATAATTTGTGACATAAGTTATGAGTTAAGAAAATAAATAACTTAAGTTATCAAAATAAATATCATACGTTGTCATAATTTGTGACATAAGTTATGAGTTAAGAAAATAAATAACTTAAGTTATCAAAATAAATATCATACGTTGTCATAATTTGTGACATAAGTTATGAGTTAAGAAAATAAATAACTTAAGTTATCAAAATAAATATCATACGTTGTCATAATTTGTGACATAAGTTATGAGTTAAGAAAATAAATAACTTAAGTTATCAAAATAAATATCATACGTTGTCATAATTTGTGACATAAGTTATGAGTTAAGAAAATAAATAACTTAAGTTATCAAAATAAATATCATACGTTGTCATAATTTGTGACATAAGTTATGAGTTAAGAAAATAAATAACTTAAGTTATCAAAATAAATATCATACGTTGTCATAATTTGTGACATAAGTTATGAGTTAAGAAAATAAATAACTTAAGTTATCAAAATAAATATCATACGTTGTCATAATTTGTGACATAAGTTATGAGTTAAGAAAATAAATAACTTAAGTTATCAAAATAAATATCATACGTTGTCATAATTTGTGACATAAGTTATGAGTTAAGAAAATAAATAACTTAAGTTATCAAAATAAATATCATACGTTGTCATAATTTGTGACATAAGTTATGAGTTAAGAAAATAAATAACTTAAGTTATCAAAATAAATATCATAAGTTGTCATAATTTATGACATAAGTTATGAGTTATGAAAATTAATAACTTAAGTTATCAAAAATAAATCTCATAAGTTATTAAAATAAATGTGAGTCATAAATAAAAATATAACACCGATAACTAAGAGATGGATGATTGAAACAAAATAAGGGAGTTTAGATTAAGAAATTATTAAAAAGATGAAGAAATGTTGAGAATAAAATTCATCGTAAACAAGATAATGAAAAATATAATTTGCTCATTTGTAAATTAATAAAAGAGAATGGACCAGTGAGCTCATAGATAAAATTTATATAGAAAAAAGGTAGGGAGAAAAGAGCTTTAGCTAAATATCAGATGAATAGTTGTGTAAATATTTACCAAAAATGGAGCTAGCATTTTATGTAACGCGTAATATGAATTAATGGAGAATATATATAGCCCGTCTAAAATAGCTGAGATATGGCTATTTATGATGATGATGGTAAGAATTTGATAGAGACCAATTGGCTTTGTCAAAAGTCCGATAAATTCTAGGAAAAAAAAAACTTTAAATTTTCCAAAAATCACTTCAATTTGGCAAAGTCTAGGTTAGGAATATCAAAAATCTCTTTTCTCTTTCTACTTCATGTTGATAGGCTAAATAGAATGACTGAAAAAGCGATTAATGAGGGGGGGTTCTTAAACCCAATGTCAGATCACCTTTGGCTTAGAAAATATATATTTTGCGACTAAAAATTATTTTGAAGGTAGAGGGAGCCTAAATTTATCAATAAATACTGGTTTTATAAAGTTTAAAGCCTAGTAATCAATCATTTTAATAAATCAAAATATGGATAAATCTTAATCGACTCTATGAGATCAAAAACTCTTGCATTCGACAATAGATTCCCTCTTAAAATTTAGCAAACCAATGGATTGCTTCGCAGAGACATTGCTTAGCGGTTAAGGTCAACGGATCGCATAACAAATGCACAAGTAACTTTACACACTCCATTCATTGGACCTTCGCCTAAACTTAACATGCAAGCTACCTTGTGTTGTGAAAAACGACGACAATAAAACGAAAAATGGAACGAAAAAATTTGCACGCAGAAAAATACCAAAGCGACACACAGATTTTAATGGTTCGACAAATTTGACTACATCCATGGAGCTGCAGAGGATTTTACTATTTCGAGGAATTACACCGTTGAGCGCTTCGACGTTTACAAGAAAATATCTATTTTCTTCTCTCCCTTCTTCTCTCTCTCTCTCTTCATCTCTTTCTCTCAGCTCTCAAGAAGTCTTGGCTTGGTCTTGCTTGGCTTGACTTCTCCTTTAAGCCAAAAGAGGCTATTTATAGAAACCATGAGAGCGGTATGTGGGAGGTAGGTGAGCGGTATGTGAGATTCTTAATTATGAAGCTAATTAAATTTCGGTGGACCGGGTCTCCACATTACCCAACAATTCTCCCACTTGAAGACTGGGACACTGACTGCATCACCTACTGGTTGCGTCATCTACTACTTGTACCGACCTTTTTCCTCAAGCATGATATCCTCCACCTCTGCAACTCGAAACCTCTGTCTTCATGCCAAAAGACCAACTGAAGTTGAGCACAACTTTAACTTCTCACGAGTAACACCCTCAGTTGACATATCACCGTCAAGCTCTTTCCTGGGTTACTTGTTACTTCTGTATCTGCTTTTCTGTATCTGCTTATAACTCTCACTGAATGAGCAATATCCTGCCCTTGCTAAAAGCTCTTTCCAACAAGTCCAGTTTTGTACCTCTTACTGCCACCAAGTGTGCAATGTCTTCTTTCTTGGTAGAAGTTTTGTCAGCTCTCAAGTCGGATTCCTTGGTAGGGAATTCGTCTCTTCCTTCTTGATCAGCTCTCACTTGCTTGAATTCTCATCTTGCAAAATTTTTTCATAGTTTTGTGGTTCTCCACAATTTTTCTGTACAATGTTTAGTTTTCCTGTCTTTGGCGCTCTGCCACTTTTCAGGAAATTAACTTTCTTCTACTTCCCCATAATGCACCCCTGACTCATGTGTCCTCGCCTGAGTAAATCTATATTCATATAAAATGTGTTGATTTTTTTACCCCGAGCCAGTACTAATGCTCTTTTGGTAACCTTTCAGGTGCTATCTGAGAACACTACCGAATGACCATCATTATTGAGTTGCCCAACAGAGATGAAATTTTTCTTCAACTCAAGAACATGTCTAACCTTATGCAAAGTCAATTTGCTCTTGTTAGGGAGTGCAATATCAACGTCTCCCATCTCCACCACGTCCAGAGCTTTTTCATCAGTTAGATATACCTTCCCAAAGTTACCTGCATCATAATTTCACATTAACTCCCGATGGGAAGGTGTATGGAATGAAGCCTCTGAATCCAGTATTCAGTCATCAACAAAACTGTGAACTGTCAGCAATAATGCATCTTGTATTTCTTCAGTTACAGTATTAACGTCATCATTCTGCTTCTTTTGAGGACTCCTGCAGTTTCTTTTTATGTGACCAACATTGCCACAATTCCAGCAGGTTGTCTGCTGACCAGACTTTGATTTTGATCTTCCTCTGTTTGAGTTTATATCATGTGATCTCCCTATGGAATCAACAATCAGTGTCGAACTCAAACCCGAGATCTAGCTAGAATCTTTCCTGCGCACCTCTTCAGCCAAAATCAAATCATGAATATTATCATATTTCAGCTTAAATTTACCTGTAGAACTGTTAATTGTAATCCTCATGATTTTCCAGCTATTTGACAATAAAGCCAACAATATCAGCGCATGTATCTCATTATCAAAATCAATTGCAACAGACGAGCAACAGACGACAATTGATTTGAACAGACGACAATTGATTTGTGATAGTATTGAAATCATTCAGCTGTTGAGCAACAGAGACACATTTCAGCATCTTCAAGTTGAATAACTTTTTCATCAAATGCACCTTGTTATTCGCCCATGGCTTTTCATACATGTCTGATAAAGCCGTCATGAGATATGCAGTAATCTTCTCCTTGATGACGTTGTGGATGACCGATTTCGACAGGGTTAATCGTATAACCCCCAGAACCTGTCGATCCAAAAAATTTCATTCCGCCTCGTCCATCTTTTCTAGTCGCTTTCCCAGTAACAGAAAATGAAGTTTTTTCTCATAAAGGTAGTCCTTATCTGCATCCTCCAATAAACAAAATCTGTGTCATTGAACTTCTCGATCCCGATGTCATCACTTCGTTTCCGCCCATTGTTCTTCCTAAGATTCGAACCCAAGGTTCTGATACCAATTGTTGTGAAAAACGATGACAAAAAAACGAAAAAAATGGAACGAGAAAATTTGCACGCAGAAAAACACCAGAACGACACACAAATTTACGTGGTTCGGCAAATTTGACTACGTCCACGAAACTGCAGAGGATTTTAATACTTTGAGGAATTACACTATCGAGCACATCGACGTTTAAAAGAAAATCTCTAGTTTCTTCTCTCCCTTCCTCTCTCTCTCTATTCCTCTCTTTCTCTTAGCTCTCTAGAGGACTTGACTTGGCCTTGCTTGGCTTTGCTTGGTTTTGCCTTGCTTGGCTTAGCTTGGCTTTTTCTTTAAGCCAAAATAGACTATTTATAAAAACCATGAGAGCGGTAGGTGGGAGGTAGGTAAGTGGTAGGTGGGATGTGGTAGGTGGTAGGTGAGCGGTAGGGGGAAAGTAGGTGAGCGATATGTGGGATTCTTAATTAGGAAGCTAATTAAATTTTGGTAGACCGGGTCTCTACATTACCCAACACCTTGATCCTACTATGGTGCAATTTATTGAGAAAGCACTCAATAAGAATGAATGAAAACTAAGGATCCACAAAGCTAGCCCCAATTAATTGGGACAAGGTTAATAATGATGATGTCTCTAAGAAACACAAAAGTATGTAGATTAAGTGAAATAATGCTCAGTCAAACACACAATGAATGGCTTAATACTACATATACATAAAAGGAAACAAAGTGGTTTTAGAAATTGGTTTTATAGTTATGTATAAACAAAATTGAAATTGAGTTCTCTACAATCTTACATCATTCTGGAGTTGGAATGATTCCCAGAAAATTCAGAGCTCCCGCCTACAGAGTTCTGCAAGTATAATGGAGCTTTAATAAACATATTTTTCGAATAGCAGTACTTTTCACGGACGGAAAATTAAGTACTGCAGAATCTAGAACCAATCAGCACATAAAATTTATTGGAAGCCATCAACGACATACATGCAAACACCGAAAAATATACTGAGTATTTTCATATCAAAGACCCAAATAGTTAGATTAAGGTTAATGATGATGGTGAGGATAATTTTAAAACCAGAAAAGAGTCCAAGCAAGTTAACTTACAGCCCATGTAAAAAGTAAAGTGACATCTGCAGGTGTTTTTCCCGAATTGCATAACTGGCAACACAAAAATGAAAAGAGAGATGATTTAGCTAAAAGAGATATCTTTATATTTTTTATATAAATCTCCATTAGTTTCTTACAGTGAATGTAAAAACTGCAACAGGATAGCTACTTTGTTGATAATTATGGGGTATGACTGGTGAAATCTGCCGACACGTTATTTTGAGGTCAGGGTCAGGTTCACCTACAGAAATGGCAAGAAATTATAAAGAATCTTGTAAATGGTTGGTGAGCTGATAGTTCACTTGTGCAAAATACCATCATAGACAGTCCATGATCTTGGATATAAAGCATGGTAAGTGCAATTTTTTCCATTGAGGTTCCAATCCCAAGATTCAATGCCAGGATTTCTACTCCCACTGCAGATAAAAAATTCAGCTATTCTTCAGTGCAACCCATATAGCAATTCTCAATAAATTACGCCATGGTAGGATTCCAGGATTGTCAGTGAAAAGCACCTTTTGTTTGTTTTTTTTTTTTGGAAAATTTACATATATACCACAAATATTTAGTGTATTTCCATATCTAACACCCAAAGTTTGATATTTATACTTATAACACTTTGGTATCATAAACGTATGCATGAAAAGGTGTATTTTCACCTGTAAAAAGGTAGTAATGTTAAAAATGTGAGTGGTATGCATGTAAATATGAATGTTTAGGTGTTAGATATGTAAATACATAAGAATTATGTGGTATGAATGTAAATGCCCTGTTTTTTCATAAGATAATGACTTACCTAGGAATTTGTGCACTTCTTGGAGACAATACAGTAGAATACCTCTTGCCACCAGGACGTGAAATGAAAACCTGGTGAAATTCAAATCCAATGCCAAATTAAACTTTAACTCTTGCTATTGAATGATATCTACTAAAATGGAGGTGAAAATACTGTTGGCAAGTAAAGTTTCTGACAATTCAAGTTGGCAAGTAATGTCATACATTACGCCTTCATTTAAAGCTATTTTTTTTTGGGTATGGTAGCCTCTTCCATTCTACGATGACTCAAGATCCTACTTTTAAGAATCTTTTTGTTATATCAAGCCCATTTAAGATTTCAATTTTGGTGAGACAACAAACATGATTAGAACTATGACATTTAAATTAATCATAATAAAGCATAAGACTAGGATGGTCTATGCTGAATTAAAGAATTTCATAACTAAGAAAGCTCGTTTGCATACAATCAACTTCAAAATTTGTTGCCACCTAACCCTAATAATAAAAACATTCATAGATCTTCACGACAAACACTTGTCACTTTGTCATGAATTCATTTCTCCTGACACTCGAACTAACCATATTGACCAAAAGCTTACATGGAGCGCACTACAGCTTCTTAAGATGATTTATTCATAAAGTGTAATTGCATGATCCAATGCAATTGTTGGTAACAGCGATGACTTCCTAGTGAACCCTATGTGAATGGCACCAATATTGCATAAGATCACTGAAGGTGGGTCTCGTTTTCTGTTTAACGCTAAATAGAAATAAATACCAAATGTTACGCCATGTTCATTTCATATGCAGAAATACTTACAGAAAACTGATTTGCTAGGACAGGGCTTTCTTCACAAATTTCAGGAAACAATTGCCAATGTTGAAAATACCCTTTGTAACTTCTTCCAATGCTTCCTGCGCTGCAATTTGCCACTCAAAAATGTGAGAATACATGATGGGAATTACATATTCCAAGACATTGCAACTCAAAAGTTTAGCATCGTAAGGAATTTAATCTAACTAGGTCATCAAAGAGCTTACGGAGCCAACAATGCACATTAGCAAACCAAATCTAAAAACGATCAAAATACTAGAGAACACATCCCATTCTCAATCGATCATCATCATCGATAGGTACTTTTAGCAATAGCATAAATCAGAAAAAAGAGAATACAATGCAAACTTATAATGAACATATTAATGATAACTTTATTGGCTTCTAATGAATATAACATTTTAGATTTAAATTAGAAGTGTAGGATTTAGTATGAGTGCCTCTCCACAAATTTTAACAATTTTAATCTAAACATGACCCCCACATCACAAAGTCTATCTATAAGCAAAAAGCATATGAATTTGTTTTGTCATTAAATTAGATTGGGAGAATTTGGATCACTTTATTAATATTATATATTTTCTAGAGTTTTCTTTAGGGGACAGTGATGGTGAAATTATGGTAGATTAGCATTTCTGTAAACATGATATGGCAACGCACAACATTACCTAGCAGGTTGTTATTTTGTTCTTTTGTTACATTATGCCTCAGTCTATTTAATGCTTTACTGTGATCGACAAACCAATAATTAAATTATTTGGATGAAATTCTCTTCTTTATATGCTAAATGTATGATTTATGAATTATGTTTTGATAGTAATTCTAGAAACAAATCTGCGAGAAATTGTTTCAGTAACTCTGATTTCATCATTACCTCATTTCTCTTCCATTTCTTTCCCTTTTGATTTCCCTATCTCTTTGAAATTTTGATACTGAAATTTTGAAATCTAAGTGAGTTTCAAAAATTGTCACAGCAGTCTCATAGATCCCCTGTATTCATTAGCAAAAAACCACAGTTCTGAACTCAAACATGGTGCTTCTCACCTTTAGAAGCAAAATATTTTAGCAGTTGCATCATAAAAGAAGATTGCATGATAGTTTTCTTTCAAAATTTTAATGTTAAGGATTCAATTTTTTTTATATTTTTACTAAAATTTTTAAAAGTTCTGGTTATCACACATTTCAAAACTTTCACTTTGGTCATTTTTTTCATTGCATCAATAACTACTTTGTGTGGATTACTTTGCATTTAATCTTAGATTCTCAAAAGATTTTCTTGAATAATACAAGAGCATAACCTGTCAAAGTATGCAGGCAGAAATAACACTCACTCATGAGATTCAAGATCTTGAAAGAATAATTTGCTCACGCCAGAAATTATTACATCAAAATGTGTGATGAAGGATACGAACATACCCAATGCCACCTAACGGAACGCCCAAGGAAGATGCAGCCTCCCACTTCTTAAAGGGATTATAATTGGCAAACTAAATCACAAAAGCAACCGTTAAGTCACTAAAAAGTAAATATAAGCTAAGAAATATTGTAGACACAATGGATTATTTTAGAACTTACCTGTCCCTTCAAAGTTTCTTTGATGTAGTTATGACACAATTTCAAAACCATCGGGCCCTTAAATAATAGAAATGAAATAAAGTCAGATACTTGAACAGACAAAAAAGTATCTAAATGATTTGCTGTGTAAAAACGAGTGTCGTTGCATAACTCAAGGAAGAGATCTATGTTCCTAGATTATTTATAAAATTTATTCATCATCAAATCTCATTTATAAAGAGGAAAAAGTAACATGGACCTCAATCATGTATAGAAATGATGAAGAGAATACAAAATCAAATTTAGTGTTAAATTCAACAGCAACTTCACACCAAGATTCTATTATTCAAGTAAGTGTGAAGCAATAATATTTCATTTTATTTTCCATCAATAAAAAAGAGGCAAAATGTCGAAGTACAGAAAATGGAACAAAAACCTTACACCGGATGCAGGAAGAGTTTTTGAACTTGTAAATCTATATACCGAAAGGCAGAATGTGCAGAACAAGGGACATTAAACACAAGTTAGGAGAAAAGCAACCAAGGCCCCATTTTGCTCCTATGCTATCTTGAGATGTGTTTTTTGTATTGTGTTGTGATTTAGAGTAAGATGGATGATTGTTTCATGCTATTAAGATTGTTGTCTGAATGATGCTATAAAAGCTAAACTTGTGGAAATAACAATTGTGGAACTAAGGAGAGCTAGTTAAATGACAAAAGTAAACATTATTAAAATATATATATATATATATATCAATAATTTAATAACCCAAACATTAACTAGTACATTATTATTGACATAATTAATTTATTAGCAACTCATTCATCAAATCTTCCATTACTCCCTCTCTCCCTCCCTCTTAGATCCCAACTTCCTAACCAGACTATTTTCTCCCTTCGTATCCCACTATCCGGAAATGACATTGTAAGTGAATTAATTATGTAATCATGATGATATTGCTTAATTTCTATAATTATAAAAAACAAGAGCATTTGAGTATAGAAACTTAATCACACCCTATAACAAAAACTATGATCTACTTTTTAAAATTGATTAATTACATGCATTCAAATTAATAGGGAGGATATGTAGACCATGAGAAAAACTATGCATGAAAGAAGAAATTAAAAAAAAACTAATTACTAGTCCAAATATCCTTCAAATCTAAAAAATCTAAAACTTCCTTGAATGATATAAAGGTGCCTATTAGGATATAAGCAAAGCATCCATCTTAAGTGATGAGAAAATAGCATTTGTATCCGATATTGTCTTGCTAATATCACAAATTTTGAAAACAAGAATTAATCAGCAATGTTTATTTTTTTTCATCGAGCACAAAGATCATGGAGGACAAATTTGTGGAGCTCATCAACGTCAGCAGGCTAATTTCAAAATTTTGGGGTTTGTTTTATGAATACTTTTAAACCATTTATGCCTAAAAAATTAGCTGATATTAAGTAATAAAGGGCATAAATCAAAGTTTAAACCTCGAAGTATTTCTTCATTCGGCAGATTGATGCTGAGAAAAATCTCATTTAAATATTCTTGCAGCACTAAAATCATCAATTAAAATTGAAGGAAAGTTTGGATCTTCAAGTATCTGAAAAGCTTATTAAATAATGAAAACTTACAAAATTGAGCTTCTCCATTGCGGTCATAGAAAATTCTATAACACCCTTTCCCTCATCAGTTAATTTTCTTTCCCAGGCCAGTTGTGGGAGCTTCCCAAGATCCAACTTGACCTAGAACAAGAAATTACAAATAATCAAGCTACCTTAAGATATTCAATGAGCTTAGTAAGAAAATAAAAAATGGCGTTAGTTCAAATTATCAACTAAGAGTAAGGTACAAAATATATTAATGATATTGATATGAAGCTGCAGTGATCAATAAATGGAAGAAAACTCTATTTGTCCATTTTGTCACGATCACTGAGGTCAAAAGTGCAATGTTGACTTATTGACAGATTCACAAGAACAAAATTGAAATATCTTAAATTGGAGAATTTGAGAAAAATAGTTGTGTGTGGTTTTTAAGGAAAGAACAGACAAAGGAACAAAACTGGTGTGTATCATGTTAAAATACTACTGCAGTTATAATTGTATTCATATAACGCTATTCTATACAGTTCTGAGTTAGTTACAACATTATTGGTCCACTACAATAACGAATTAATATATAAACAGTAAAACAGATGGCAAAAGTCAAGACATTATGAATTAAGAATGGGCAATTAAGTCTTTGGGAGTGCATTACTAGGGATGTAGATAAAGTATCAATATTATTACACTTTATGCCTTTCTCATACATGTAAAGCATTTTATTGTTTCTTATCATTTGTCCAGAGGAAAAAGAGGATGCAATTAGGTAAACTGTTCTAACAAACAAAATTCAAAAATTAAAATTTCCGAAGTGGGCAAATTTCAAGTTAAATAAATTTATTCATATAAAAACATGTCTGGAGTGTCACACCACAGGAATATAGCATCAACTAGTTCAGAGGAATCATTTTCATTCTTTTCAAACTCAGCTACAAACATTCATTATTTCTACCTTCTTTGAATAAAACCACCAGCAAAATCATGCGAAAGAAAAACAAAAAAGCCAGCTCAAACATGCCCAGTCTTATTTTGTCAGTGCGTGGACAACATCTTAGCAGTGCTGAGCAGCTGTTTTTCTACACTTAATGTAACTGTGCTTTTGGTAAGCACGATGCAAAACTCGAATGTTTTCTCAAAAAGAGATTTTGAAGTGAGTAAATTTAGTCAAATAAATAAATCAAATCTGGAGTGTCTTACCAAGTTCTTATGAGCATCTGCAACGAATTCAGAATAATCTGTTTCATTCTTCGCGTTCCCATTGATAAACATCTTGTCCTTGACCTACTTTCTTTGACATCATCAGCAAAACCATGCAAAACAATAAAGCACCCAGATCAAAAAGTATATCCGAATATATTTTCTCATATTTCGTGTACCAAACAAATCTAGAGTGAGAGGAACTGGTTCTCTACATGAAATACAAAGTTTAACTCAATAAGAGTAAATATTACATTATTGATTCAAAGCAGTTTGCAAAATAATTTACATTGAAAAAGGAGGAGATGACCCCTGCAAATACAGAAAGTGCACATAAATCTCTAGAGTCAACAGCACATGTAACACTTAATAGGTAGCAGGGACAAGAAAGAATATGCGAAGCCAGCTTTATATAGTTGCAATAAGGCTACCGATAATGATAAAGTAAAAAAATTATACCCATACATAAAACAAAATTATAGTGCAAGTAATTGTGAGTTATACAAGGAAAACTGACAATAAATTTTAAGTTGCTTTATTCAATGTTAAGAAAAAAAAGCCTGAGGAAGGGGAAACAGACATCAAAATGTCGCTTGAAATAATCAAGTATTGTAAATGGAAACGTCACATTAATACCCCATCCCCCACACACCATATATGCCCTAAGGCACCCCAAATATGGAAAATATAAGGAACATCATAGAGATTCTCAAAATTTAAAATATGTATTTTTAATGAAAAGAACATATTTCAGGCATAATTCATCAACTCACCAAGCAATGAATGCTAGATCAATGCAAGGCCCAAATTCCAAAGGTATCATATCATATGAGGATAAAGTTTGGAAGGCAATGATTCTCGTTACATATAATAATGTATCATTCAAAATTTAAATGGAAAAATCATTTGTAAAGGGAGAGCATGCACACCTATCATTGTAAAGTTTAAGGAGAAGTTGGTGTGTGAAGCCTTACTCTTATGCCATAGAGAAGACATTTATACGAATCAAGGAAATGACTTCCAGAACATAATGGAGACGAGCTCAGCATTTATCCATCATTAACTTCAATTAATATTTAGTTATGTCGATTATATTAAATATATCTAAGGATAGATATCCAAAGCTTTAGAATATGAATAAATTATAAGAAGATATACATGCATTGTAGCAAAAAGGATTCATTCCTTTCTTCAAGAATTTTGAGTCAATTTAGGGGCCAAGTCTGGCTAACTTAATCTTATAATTAGTTAATAACCACTACTTAATATGGTATCAAACATAATGATCTCAAGTTCCAATCTACGGGTGTAAATATGAAGTTAGATGTGAGATATGTAAATACATAAGAATTGTGTGCTATGTATGTAAATGCCCCTTTTCTAATTAAATTTTGTCGGATCCTTTCATGGGCCGTTTTTCTTGCAGCAGCCAAAGGTATATCAGCAAACATTAATGAATCTTCTCGACGTAAAAGTAAAAGAGCAACGAAAAACTTTAACGAACTCTTTCTAGTGACAAATATACTGAAACTTTTGCGATCAAATATGCGATTGGATGAAAACGGGTGCTTATCATTCCCATGCTGTTCGGTTTTCTTCGGTTACAAATTTAAAAAAAAAAAAAAACATTTCAAAAGCTTTACAAACCACTGGTAAAACTTACTTCAAGTTAACAGGATCGAGGTTTAGCAGATAGAAACATTTGAATCACAGCCAAATACTTCTGTTATCGTTTTTAAATAACTCTCGATAAAGATTCCACGCTAAAGAAAACACAATCACCGAACCATAAAATTTCGTCCGCTCACGAAAACCGAATCCCAAAAACAAAATCAAAAACAAAAAAACATGTCAGCGGAGAAAGTGCGGAGCCAGAATAACCATACCTACCTAGACCAAACAAAGATTGAGCAGTCAGAACGCCAGCTGCACCACCAATCGCTATATATAGACCGATGAATCTAAGGCGTTTAAAATAGATAACCATTCACGGCGCCGTTTGGCAATCAAATATTAACCAATTTCCGCGCAGCCAACCTCCAAAAAGCATATTACCTTAGAAATCTTCCACAGAAACCGCAGGATTCCTCTAGATTAAATGATGCAACGATACGGATTCAGCGAGATGGAACAGAACACGTCCCTTGGAAAATAGTAGCAATCACTGAATCAATATAGCATTATTGAAATGGGTGAAAAGTCACCAGGGGGCATGAAATAAAAAAGATGAAGGACAATGGTGGTACCTACTTTCTTCTTCCGGCGGCGCCTTTGACGAATGAAAACTTACGCAATGTCCCCATCGCCTGATCTGGACAATTCTATTGACCCAACAACTCACTGCAGCTGGGGTCATTGTTTGAAAATTTTCCATTGTAAAAGCTCGGTCAGATTCGAGAAGGGAAAAATCGTAGGTGGCGAAAGCTCGGTGGCACTGGCGGGGATTTTCTTGAGGACGGGGATGGAGAGAGCGGGACAAATCGTATATGGGATATTTTACATGCATGCCACCCAAATTTTATATATTTACATATCTATTATTTCTAATTTATTTTTTACATTTATACCATCCAATTCTTTTATATCATATCAATATAAATATTGTTTAACTTTAAAAAATTAAAGTAAAAATCTTTATATATATAAATTAAAATTCCAATGTTAGACATGTAAATACATAAGAATTTAGTGGTATGTATGTATTTATGAATAAAAAGTATTCTATTTTTCAAGATTTAAGAATAATAATTTTTTTTTTGGCAATATTAACATTTTAAATAGAGGAAATAAAAAATAAAATTGATTTATTAGATATATAAATACTCTAAATTTATATAATATGTAGGCAGGAAAATAGTTCAAAATTAAAATATAATGAATTTGATAAGTCGCAGGTAGAATCTAACGGACAATTGGGGAAATCAATGAAATGCAGAGGACTTTAATGCTTTCTTAGATCATAAATTAAATATAATGATATCTAAATATAAATTTATTGTTCAATATTTTAAAATTAATAAAACAATATTATGACAAATGAATCTTACCTACCAACGCCCCGTGCATGAGTGGTTAAGGGTCGCGTTTGACCAACTCACAATTAAGTATAACAATGATTTACCTAAACTCAATCCAAATCATTTAATCGTGTCCATAAATAAACCCATTTAATGATATAATAAATAATTTATAGGGGTAATTACTTAAGTAGACATTGCTATTTATAACATGCATATTATTTATTATTTAAATTATTTTTGGATTAATTAAATCTTATTTAATGTGTGCACAAATATAATTATGAAGAAAAAGCTGATCTGTGAGGAATCGAGTCAACTGGTTGAAGCTCAAAAGTGGTTGAGTTAAGCACACCAGTCAAAGCGGGTGAACTAAGCCCATCAATTGAAGTGGCGGAACTAGATTCATCGGTCAGTGTTGTCGGAGCGAAGCAACATTAACAAAGTTGAATATTATGAGGAATCGAAATGACTGATGGAGCGAAACAACATTAACATGACCATTAAATGTGGTTCTGTAACATGCAAGTAACATATTTTAGAATCCTTGAATCTTTAACACAGTAATACAGTTTGTTGCTCGTAATTAAAAAAAAAACCTAACATTGCTTGTTGAGATATTCTTATGAGCAATATTAATTTGAGTATTATGACGCACAAACGAATCACTCTCCTAATGAATAGGACAAGTCATCAAGGTAAATGGGTCACGCACATACAACATACAAAAGACTCATGTTGCGATTATTGGACCATGGGACGAAGCAATCACAAAGGACATCAAAAGCCGAAACACACATCATGCAAATGCATGCAAGAATGTTGCATGCAACATGACGCATACAAATGAGTGTATTGGGCCACAACGAAGAAATTTGTCCAATTAAGTCTGAAATTGATCGGACTAAGGCAGACCAATCAGCCTAAGGTGGACCGATCAGTCTAAGAAGTATCGATCGGTAATAGTCCATTACTCAGAAAAATATCCACCAGCAGGTATATCTGATCGTACTTGTATAATGTACTGAATTAATTCTCACAAATCTAATGATTAAAAGGCATAAATGTAATCTTAAATCTATACCCTTTCACACCTATAAATAAGAGGTTATTTTTAGAACACGCATTTTACTTGCTGTATTATCTCTACCAAGTTCTATCTGATCACACTTCTCTCTATTCCCTAGTTGTCTTATCCCTAGTTGTGGAAATATTTTTTTATTATGCATCTATGCAATTATTACACTAAAGCGTAGGTATGTGATGTGATATGTGCTGTGTTTTTGTTTTGAATTATGGGCATCTACTTCGCATGAAATTCTGGAATAACAAATTGTAAACTGATATACATGGAAAGAGGCCTGTTTGCGTATGTAGCATCCTAAAAATGACTATTTACAAATCTGGTCCACTCTTTATCTCATGCAATTAATGAATTGACTCTGCCTCTAAAAAAAAAAATCATAAATAAATAGAAGGGGGGCATGTAAAATAGATTATAAATATTTTGAAACTTATTGTGAGCATTATAAATATTTTTTTTACGATTAGACACTATAATTTGTTTATATGAAAATAATTACAAGCCAATAAGATTACGAAAAACAACATTACAATTGCGGTAATAGAAATATGGCAGATCTCTATTAAACTTGATGTACAATAATATTACTTTCAAATAATTTATTGTGAACATGATTCCTGTGTTTTTGTCGTGCTGTCATCCTTATCCCTTCACCGGAGATTTACATGCATGCCATTCATAATTCACTTTATAAAATTTGACACGCTGATATTTTTTATGTGATATGAAAGATTTAGATGATATAGATGTAGAAGCTAATGTTTAACTGTTAGAAATGTAAATACATAGGAATGAGGTGGTATTTAGGTAAATGCCCCTCTTAAGTAAGTCCGTGTAAGTTATGCTAAATTCAAAATTATGTGATACAATATGGCCTTCAATAGAAAGCATGCCGGAGAGCATTAGGTTGTGTTTGGGATAAAAATGAGGCAATCTTGGAGTGTCTTATGTGCCTGTTTTTTAAAAAGATACGGTGAGAAGTCATGTTTTGTAATCTTACTTGACTAAATTTGATGGTTGTAAGAAAGCTAGAACCCGTATTTTTTAAAATAAAATAAATTTGTAATAGACAACATAGTTTTTTAAAAAATAATTTTTTTTTAGCTACTTCACAATTATTTCTTCAAAAGACTGTAGATGTCTCAAACAGACCATAAATTACTAAGGCTATATTTGGGGCACTTGCAGCTATTTGAATAAGCAGTTATGAGCCTGCTGAAGAAGAATCGATCGTTCAAAAAGTTGCAGCAATAATTACAATTTTTTATTTTTTGAAAAAATTAGATTATAACTTTCTAACAACCACCGCAATTAGTCAGGCATGGTGGGAAAACAAGACTTTCAACAATAATTTTTTTGAGAATACAGATAAAAGACTATTTTCTCAAACAACAAAAACTATGGTGCAGTGTCGCACGGGCACCGCCGCCGCCAAAAACACCCAAAGAGGGCTAAGCAAAGCTTAAAGTGGGGAGTAGTTGTAAAATCAAGATTAGACATTAGAGTGATAGAATATGTGCTCAAATATTTATAAATAAAAGTATTTTACAAAAATATTAATGTGTGTGCGCATGGTGATGCATTTGAGGATAATTGGTTAATCATTTGTCTATTTCTTTAAAAACATCTTCAAAAAGTACCCCATATAATTTATTTTACCCACGGAATAAAACCCCTCAGATCGAGGGGTTCCAATTCCCTCTAACATAGTTGGCCTTAAAGAAATGACACTCGAACTGTTAGGCACATCATGAGTGACTGGAGGCTTGTATAATAGCATCAATTCATTGCTTTCAAAAATAAATAAATTAATTAATAAATAAAATACATCTAACATCTACACACTATAATAAAAATTCATTTCCTATTAATCTCAGTAATTCATCATAACTTCGAAAAATAAACAAACAGAATAATTACATATATAACACTAGGGATCTGATTGTGAAAAATAATAATAATAGATGGGCCTTATTTGGGGTTCAAACTAAAAACTAAACCTATTAAATACAATTATATGAGGTTTACATAATTACCCCAAATACAAATTTAACATTAACCTCAAAACCTCATATAAATTTTTTGCATCAAAGAGTCATCCACAAAGTGCTTGTTAATTAAAGCTAAACATACTCTATACAAATGAACAAAATAGCCAGAAAGCATTTCTTAGTCATTAAGATCACCTCCATCTTGGATTCTCCTTCCTGTAATGTTAACTAATATTATTAGAAACATTTGCATGCACATCACTTACTTCCTAAGTATTTACATATTTAGCAAATCTAAATTTTAATTTTTTTACATACATGCAACCTTACCCATGCATGAGAATGTGTATTTCACATTTTAGAAGTTAAAATGGTGGTATTTCTTCCATGATGTGAAAAAGATTTATAGATGGTATAAATGTAAAAAAACTAAATTTAAGTGTTAGATATGCTAATACAAACGAATTGAGTGGTATGTATATCACATTGAGAAGAGGAAGATAATAGTCTAAGAAGGCATAGCAAACCGGGAATATTAGGAAGATTTACATATATACCACCTTACCTTAGCATGATAATGTGTATTCCAACTTTTTAAAAGTTGAAATGGTAGTATTTTTTTATGTGACAACATTAAGATGGTATAAATGTAAAAAGAAAGTGTTGCATATGTAAATACATAGGAATTGAGTGGTAAGCAAGTCATAATATTACTAATTAAAGAGAAAAGTGAGAGAATATAGACTAAACAAACCTGGATTTCTTCACAACAAGTGGCATTCCACCAATGAATGATTTGCTCACACCATTTGGCCTTTCAAGTTTTTCTACTGTGGTCATCTGTTTCTGTTTAGGACATGGAGGTGAATCTCAGTTAAAAAGCACAGAATTCGATGGAACGTTGCGAAAAAAATACATTGATATGCTCTCCGAGCGAAAATTTAAGTAAAAATAAAGAATGTTTAAGCCGACAGCATGATTTTTCGGTCATTAGAATTGTTTATTGATGTAAATTTGTGTTGGCATAACTGAACCCAAATTTTACTTTCCGAGCATTTACATACATACCGCCCAATTCTTATATGGAAAATTTACATATGTACCACATAATTCTTATGAATTTACATATCTAACACCCAAAGTTTGATATTTACACATTTAAGATAACTTGGCACTATAAACCTTTCATCAAATGGTGCATTTGACTTTAAAAAATTAGTCAAAGTGATATTCTTGATATGATGAATATAAATATTAAAGTTTAGATGTTAGATATGTAAAAACATAAGATTATTGAGGAACGTCTGTGAATGCCCCTTTATATTTATACCACCCAAATCTTTCATATCACATAAAAAATGCCATTATTTTAACTTCTAAAATATAAAATATACTTTTTCCTGCATGAGTAAGGTGGCATGCATGTAAGAATTAAAGTTTAGGTGTCATGTATGTAACTACATAGGAATTAAGTGTTATGTATGTTTTTTAAGCAAAAATATTATGGGCATTTACACACATACCAAAAAACCATTACGTATTTACATATCGAACACTAACTAATTTACATACATAACACTCAAATCTTTAATATTGCATAAAAAACATCACTAGTACTAACTTCTTAAATGAGAAAGAATAAACATTTTCATCCATAGGTTATGACAACAAAGTGTCATAAATGAAAATATCAAAATTTTTACGGGTTATATATGTAAATATACAAGAATTATGTGATATCGTATTAAAATTAACTGCTTTTTTGTCAATATATTAAGATTTTTTTAAAGGTTATAGCTTTGGCAACGTAACCAAAATTAGCAAGTAATTAGGATCTACACCAAGTTCAAATATAGTAAAAGAGAGAATTTTATCAAAAGATTAGGAAAAAAAAACCAAGTAAAATGTGCTCAACCTTAGTAGCATCAGCTTTGTTGTTTCCACTGGGCCTCACAGTGCTGATCTTGGAGGCCTTCACCTCATATTTCCTGGTTGTTGAAGCATTTGCCTGCATGTCATGTAATTCAATTCAATGTTAAAAATTGTAATGCCCGTGGAATCGACAAGAATGCATGTTTTTGCATCCAATATTTGAAGGCCTCATAAAAGAATAGGGATAATTACATATAGACTACATGAAACAATGATATTTATAAAGTAACCACCCGACTGATTTTTTTTTGAACTAGAGAACCAATGCATTTACATGTTGTTGACCTCATTTTCAATAAGGTTTTAGTTTTATCCTCCTAGAATCTAGGAACTAGCTTTAAGAGTTTCTTATTGACCATCTTAATAGATTAGTAACGGAACCTTCTTGACCCATACCTCGCATGAGTAGTCTCAAGCACTCGACTCTTAGTTGCAAGGGCTAAGGACTAACATTTGGATGGCTCAAAAATGAGCTCCTATAGGATCAAGAGGCCTTAAATGAACCCTTCATGGCTCGGCTATGCAAACACTACAATTCGCACATACACCACGCGAAAACATCACAACTCAAGTCACTGACACTTACACAAATTGCACCACTAAAATCAATTTTCAAAATGACCTGTCGCTAACCCAAAATTCAAAGGAAAATAAAAGTTGACACTTTTCGGATCAACCATCGACGAACTTGTCCGGACGACCCCGGATGATGAAACGGGTCGCGTAAGCGTGTTTGGGACTTTAACTTTAGCTAAGAAGGACAATCATATTGCTATAGTTCCGCACGCGGGCAAACGGCATGAAAATCGATGCACGCGAATTTTTAATTAAAGAGCACGGGTTCAGGCTCAGCCCAAGTTCAATTCAGGCTGGACATGGGCTTAACACGAGCTAAATAGTTTCTAATTTCAAATTTTTAAATTTCAAATGAGTCATTTAATCCCATCTTAATTGAATGTAATTAGGAGTTAAGATTTTCAAATTGAGTCGGCTGCATGAATGGAATTCGTTTGATTTCCCGCCTAATCTCGCATAACCTTCTTGGCATTCGCCCCCTAATCTCACATACACCACACGAAAACATCACAACTCAAGTCACTACTTGTCAATTTCAAAATCACAACTCAACCTTCTTGGCGGCCCGTACACACATTGCACCACTAAAATCAATTTTCAAAATGACATGTCGCTAACCCAAAATTCAAAGGAAAATAAAAGTTGACACTTTTCGGATCGACCATCGACGAACTTGTCCGAACGACCCCGGATGATGAAACGGGCCGCGTAAGCGTGTTTGGGACATTAACTTTAGCTAGGAAGGACAATCATGTTGCTATGGTTCCGCACGCGGGCGGACGGCATGAAAATCGATGCACGCGAATTTTTAATTAAAGAGCACGGGTTCAGGCTCAGCCCAAGTTCAATTCAGGCTGGACATGGGCTTAACACGAGCTAAATAGTTTCTAATTTCAAATTTTTAAATTTCAAATGAGTCATTTAATCCCATCTTAATTGAATGTAATTAGGAGTTAAGATTTTCAAATTGAGTCGACTGCATGAATAAAATTCGTTTAATTCCCCGCCTAATCTCGCATAACCTTCTTGGCATTTGCCCCCTAATTTCACATACACCACACAAAAACATCACAACTCAAGTCACTGACACTTACACACATTGCACCACTAAAATCAATTTTCAAAATGACCCAATGCTAACCCAAAATTCGAAGGAAAATAAAAGTTGACACTTTTTGGCTCGACCGTCGACCAACTTGTCCGGATGTCGGATGATGAAACGGGCCACGTAAGCGTGTTTGGGATCTCAGCTTTAGCTAGGAAAGACACCCATATTGCTATGGTTCTGCGCGCGGGCGGACGACATGAAAATCGATGCACGTAAATTTTTAATTAAGGAGTGTGGGTTCCCAAGTTCAATTCGGTTGGACATGGGCTGAACACGAGCTATAGTTCTGAATTTCAAAATTTAAAATTTCAAATGAGTCATTTAATCTCATCTTAATTGAATGTAATTAGGAGTTAAGATTTTCAAATTGAGTCGGTTGCATGAATGGAATCTGTTTAATTCCTCGCCTAATCTCGCATAACCTTCCTGGCATTCCCCCCCCCCCCTCTTCTTCTCCCGCTCGTCTCTTCTCCTCTTCACCTCTTCTGCTCAAGACGCACCGAAGCCCTTGCTCGACTCCTCCCCTCTATACTGAAACTCTCCTGCTCGCCTAGAAATCTTCGCCCCTCTCTCGGCATCCTCGCTCGACTCCCCTCTGCACCGAAAGTCCCTCGCTCGACTCCTCCCTGCACCGAAGCCCCCGCTTGTCTTCCCCCTCTGCACGAAAACTCCCTCGCTCGACTCCTCCCTGCACCGAAGCCCTCTCTCGACATCCCCTTGCGTTGAAGGCCCCAGCTGGAGACTCGCCTGCCTCACCTCCTCTTCCCTATGTCGAAGACCCCTCTCTCGACAGATCCCGCTCTTCTCCCCTCTCTGCACCCCCTCACCTCCCTCTCCCGCTCGCCCACAAACCTTCGCCCCTCTCTCGACATTCTTGCTCGCCTCCCTCTCACACTCGCACCGAAGCCCTTGCCTCCCTCCTCGCTCGACTCCCATACCAAGGCGCGAAACTTCCCTCTCCACTCCACACCTGAAGCTCTAGAGCCTCTCTCTCGATCCTCCCACTCTCAAACCCTAACAGCTCTCAACTGAAGCACTAGCGTTGGACTTCCTCACAAGCGAAGCCCCCAATTTTTGTTCATCTTTTCTGATCTTTTGAGCCACCGAGCGGAGTGCTTCTTCCTCTTTCTGCTTTCCAAGCCGCAAGATTCAGAAGGCCCCCTCTCCATCTTAAGCAAAACAATGCAAAGCTGATTTCCATTTCTAGTCACCTCAAAACAGGTTTCAATAGTTTCTTTTGCTTCTTTTGTTCCCCCAAACACTGTTAATCAATTTTATTATTCATGGTAACTATTCTAAGATGCTTGTGATTAGCTCATAACCTCCATTTAATTTGTAATTATTGGCATGCATATAAAAGTAATCAGATAAACAAGGCCAGTCTTGCAATTTTGGCTCGCCCGACTTTGCAATCAGATGTCACTTAAAGGAACTAAAGGGTCTACTGGGTGAACATGAGGCTGAATTTCTTGAGTTTAAGTTGATTTTGCAGAACGTGCTTAAATCTGGATCATAATTTGTTGTGATGATTTCTCCTTAAAATATTAGGAAATTTACATACATGCTACTCAATCCTTATGTATTCATGTATCCAACACTCAAACTTCAATTCTTAAATACATACCACTTACCTCCTACTTGTTTACATATCTAACACCTCAACTCTATTCATTACATTTATGCCATCCGAATTTTTCATATCACATAAGGCTTACTACGATTTCAACCTTTAAACACAAATTGCACCTTCTCATACATAGTCAAGGTATGTAAACATCGAAATTTGGGTGATGGGTATGTAAATATGTAGGGATCGAGTAATGTGCATGCAAAGTCCCTTTAATTGCATTTCATTGAGATTGGGTTTTGATATGCAAACACGTGTAGCGATTAGCGTGCATACTTTGGGAACATTTATGGTTCTTTTTAGAAGCCTTAATTGCTGCTATTTTGGAGGTTTCACATGCCGTGCTTGGTGTCGATTTTTTTGTAATTTTGGAAGGATTAGGGGTTGCATAGGGCAGTGTTTGGGGGCTACCCTTGCTCGATTCTTCCACTATTTTTGGAGTTATTTCAGGTGTCGATTTTGGGTTGATTTGTGATCTCTATATTTGTTGTTTTGGAGAAAATTTTGGGTTGATTTCATGACTGATTGCCTATTGTTTGGAGCTATTTGAAAGTGCCATTGTGAGTTGTACTTTTTGGTTCTGTTTTGTGGCTTTTGAGTTGCGTTTTTTTAGTCTATTTGGTGGCTTCTGGGCTTCATTTTTTTTACTCTGAAACGAAAAAATTTCAGGCCAATCAAAATACTGCTTTAAATAGATTTAAACACTCTCCTTGGGGGTCGATTTAATTACAGTCATTGAAAGAATTTAAACGTTTTTAGACCTATTCACTTAATGTTTCCTCCCTTGGCATTGTTAGTTTTAGAAGTGAGCCGGTTTTCACCTTTCTTTTGTTTTATTTTTTTTATTGTTAAATGGTTAAGTCAAAAATGAGAATTTCTGATTTAATTATTTGAAAAACACTTAAAATATATTTGACGATTAGTTGGAAAAAACTAATTGAGATCAAAACACCTTAAATCACTTTATGCACGGGTTAAAGTGCAGGCTTCCTAAACTTTATGAGCACACCCTAGGTGGGACTTTATATACCTAATTTTTAAATGAATGATGAAACTAGACACTTAACTTTAATTCACACATTAATTAAAATACTAAACATCATAATAAACCAAGATGTGGTTCATGACTTCCTTAATTAAATCAACTAGTGAAATTTTCTTCATTACTTAACCTATAGTGAAACCCAATACATCGAGGTTTGAACTTGAACATTACAGTCAAATCCTCCTGGCAATTGGGGACATTTATCAATGTCACATATAAATCACCAGACTAGTATAAGTTGGAGGTCTTGGTGGCAAAAGTGATGACGATATTGTTTATATGTGTTTAAACAAGAGATACGAAGTGAGATTATTAGAATAGTATCTCCTACCTTAAGGACCTTTAATAAGTGAGGAAATAACTGATGATACTATTCACCGACTCTTTGTGGGATTGTTGCCTCCGACGCTATTAGTTTGCCAGTAATGTAGCTTAATTAGAGTGACTAGCCTGTGGACTACACTACTTTACAAAATATTTACAAAAATAAAACAAAATCTCTTTTGTATGTTAAAAAGAATTCTACATGAAAACTAAAAAAACAGCTTTTGCATGAAAATCAAAGAATTTTTTTTTATGAAAACTTATAAAGGTCCATGGTTAGTCATTTAGATCGAGGTTAAGAATCGTCCTCCGTAGATTGTCGGGTTGGCAGCTCTTATTCAAGGTTGGAAAGCACACAGTCCAGCTCTGAGCCCCCACCTTTACCGATGTTTTATAACCAGTGTTGGTCTTCCATAAGTGGCCGTGGATATTGCTTTATATGTTCGTGTTACGACTAATCTTGCTGATTTTTACACTATAATTCATATTTTTTTCTTTTTCTACAATTTATTAAATTTCCTGCAAATTATATTATGTTTTATGAACTAATCATGCAGCGGTAGCAGAAGCCCAGGTACGCATTTTATTTTATGAACTGCAGTTCCTTTATTTACTTCACGATTACTTTACATGTGAAACCAAAACAACAACAAAAAAATCAGAAACATTGAAACATACCTGATAAAATCTTTTAAACCTTAGACCTTAAAACAACTACTTCAATAAAGAGCTTGGAGCATATGTCATGGGCAGCACGACGAAGACCTGCATAAGGATATATTCGAGAGAGCAAACAAGTCAATAACAGCAAATCTTTTCTTAGTTTAAACAGTAAGTCATAGGACTTCGAGATAGTTCATCTAGCACGACATAAATCATCAACTTATCTTGAGGCTTCTGCACAGTTATGCTGAGCAGTATAAGTCCTAACTTGACTTAGGATTCCTAGGTTGTCGTTTGATATGACGTAAATCATCATGTCTTCAGGGCTATTTGCATAATCGGGTATTATGCAAATAGAAGTCTTAAACAATAAAATTGACAGGATTGAACAATTGAATAACATCGTCTCGCAGTCACACATTAGAATAATTTGGAAAGTCACTGAGATTTCTACTCATGATCTTTGACATCCCCTACATTTTCCTTTATTTAGACTCTTGAAAGAACTGCTCCCATTTGATCATGTTCTACTTGACTTTTCATACTCGATCAGTTAAGATGTAATTAACTATAAGGGTTTGCCTATATAGCAAACTTGGAACCCGGATAAAATAAACTCTACCTAATATTTATATTAAGTAGGGGAACCTGTCGGTCATACATAAAAGGTTCGTAAGTCAAATGGATGTCACAAATCTCTTAATTTACAGGAATGGGTCTATCGCCGAGATATACACTCATCTTTCGAAAATGTATAGTATTTGCGGCATCAGACACGATTATGCAAACTATTAGACAAATGAGATATATTCGGTCTTATTTTCTAAAAGATTAAAACACATTATTTTCAAAAATAAAATAAAAATTATATATCTTATATTAAATTAAATTAAAAAAATTATTTTCAAATCAAAAAGTTGACCTACACACGTGCTACAATCAAACTATTAAGGATTTGATAAAAAAGAAAAATGGATGAAAGACAGTTGTTGATTTGTAAATAACAAGTTTCGGGTAGTTTGTATGTAATTGCCCCAAAAAAAAAAAGAATCGTTAGGATTTTAGTATGCTTTATTTAAGATTGTATGTTTTTAGATATAATATTCAATAATTTCATTAAGATTATTTTAGTAAAAATTTGCACAACAAAAATGTAGATTTAATTTTACTTAGAAAAAAATAAAAAGCTCTAAACTAAACTTTAAATTTAAGATGTTAGAAGTTAGTTTAAATATATAAAAAAGGAAAGAAATTTATAATAAAACTTTAAATAAAATTAAGGGGAGGCTAATATTTGATCATGGTAATGTGTTAATCGGAATGCATGAAGTTACAGTATATAAAATTTAATTAAGTTTAACTTGGATATTTGAATGAAAAAATGATTAAACTAAGATCAATTAATATAAATGAAAACTATTAAATTATATTTGATAAAAATCGAAATAAATTATTAACTAAAGCAAATGTGGAGAATTTATAATAACTGTGGTTCAAATTTTATTTGTTTATACGAATTCAAGAAATATTAAACTTAATAGTATATTTTATAGGAAGATTCACATACATACCACCCATTCTTATGTATTTACATAGATACCACCCAATTCTTATGTGTTTACATATTTACCACCCAAATTTTAATTTTTACATTTATACACCCAACCTATGCATGAAAAGGTGTATTCACCTTTTAAAAGTTAAAAAAAAAAATTGCTACTTTTTATGTGAAATGAAAGATTTGGATGTATGCAAATGCCCCTATTTTTATATTAAATTTAATATAATGACGATTTGTAGTCCATAAAAAAGGGTCTCGGATTGATAAGAAATGCAAAACACTAAATTGACTGATCTAATATTTTGCCAAATTGCATCCTATTTTTCTCTTTCTTCCTCCTCTAAGATCTCTCCCTATCTCACATTTACTTGAGTTCTCTCATCAACTATAATTAATATTTAATATGTCTAAAACATCCCGACGGGCACAGAGAAGAGTTAGGCCGACAATTAATATCTCCAATCCAAGAAAAATCAAATAATTGACCCTAACTAAATGACCGTTATGCAGCCTCACTCTTATTATATTAATAAGCATATTAAAAATGATACCAAATGACGTATGATGAGTGTCAGAAAGTCCGCGACGGTAAAGTAATGAATTATCATGTTAGCATTTTCACAACTCACTATTATGGCCTTGCGTGACCAACAACGGCCTACGTGGCCCACAACTCACGAAACGTTAAGGAGCAACAATTCATTACTCTATCGCCCTGAACCTTCCGCCAAGCATTAATAATCAAACAATAAATAAATAATCCCTGGGATTAGCGTGTGTCTGCATGTTTTAATTGGAGGGTAGGAGAATCATGAATAAAAAATTTTACCATTTTGCTTTTATCTCCAGCTGATAAGCTTCCGGGTAGGTAACTAATAACTCTATTTGGATCATGAATATTTCTGGAACAAAGATTGATAGACCTGAACACAATCAAAAATAATAATTTCATGTCAGTATTAAGAAGAGCAAAAGAAATTAGAATCAGAGTGCTTTTCATTGCATACTACTTGTGATGATAAAGAAGGCTTATTATGCTTAAACAAGGGTTCCCACCTTGTTTTAAGTTGTTCTGTTGCAGCTCTTCCTTCAACGGTACTGCACCTGCTTTCCAAGTTCTTGAATTCTTCATGACCCGCACTGCTAGCTCAAAAAGAGTAGAGTGATTAAGGGTTTTTTTGGGATAAATTTTATTTTTTGTATTAACTTTTGTTTTTAAAAATATATTTGTTTAGTATGTTTTTTACTTTTTATTTTATTGTTTTAAAGAAAAATTAATATTTTTTCAAAAACACCAAAAACAGCATTTAAATATTTTGATTTCTTTAATCAAATACTCAAAACAATTTTAAAGTGTTTTTAGTATTTTGAAAATAAGTTTACTTATTTTTTAAAATAAAAAATAAAAATATATTAAATATTTATCAATAAAAAGAGAATTTCAAAAAAAAAAAGTTAAAATAAAATTAAAAAAATGAAACAAAAGTGATGCCAAGCTAGTCCTAACCTTTTACTTTGTAGTGCACCATTTTTAACAGTATTCCGTTTAGTCGTCTCCCTTGATTCACCCTACAAGGAGATTCAAATCTCAACTAAGAATCAAAGCAAAAATTGATATTTCTTTCAATAAAAGAATTCACTTACAAATAAACAATTATAACCCATGAGAAAAATAGTCAGCCGATGATACATAACAGCCATAGGAAATATCAGAAAGATTTTGAACTAAATTTCACAGCTTCGCTTTACCGACACAAGAGCGAATATAAAGAAAAGGGAAATTTAAATAAATGCCACATAATTCTTATTTATTTACATATCTAACACCTAATCTTCTATATTTACATTTTATAACATTTATGTGTCATATACCTGTGCATGAAAAGGTGTATTTCACTTTTAAAAGTAAAAGTGATTTCTTTAAGGGATATAAAAGAGTTAGGGGTTACGTACGTAAATATGAAAGTTTAAGCGTTAGATATGTAAATACAAAAGAATTGCATGGTATGAATGTAAATGCCCCTAAAGAAAAATCACACAAAAGAAATAAGAAGTAAAACTTAAGCTTAAATTCCCTGATGAACTTACATATGAGTTCACATTTGAGATAAAAAATGAAAGCCACGAACCTGTAATTTTAATTTTCCATCTGGATTTAATTTCCTTGATGATGACTTATTTGTAACTTTTGAATGTGACCTAAGAATAGAAACTTTATTCTGTACTTCAGTTGGTGATCGATGAGAAGCAACAGAAGAGGATTTATCGCTGCTTCTGGCTTTGTTAGAACCCTTCTTGCTTGAAGGAATTTCAGTGTCAGCTTTCTCAATCTTATGGACTCGGTTCGAGGGCCGTGATGACTTTTTGCATTCTGGTACTGATTTTTTAACAGATTTTGAAAGGTATCTGTTTGAAGCAGCGTGTTCCTGAAAGAAATGAAATTTACATTTTTACTAAAAACGCAAAAAATTTCTTCAAATGGTAATATTGTTTGCAAGGTTTCTCCCAAAGCTATAACTACAAAGATATTTATGCTTCTACAGGTAATTTTATATATACTGCATGTGCAAAAAAAATAACACTGCCACCACTTTTCAAATGTGAAATATTTATATTTACATACATATCACAAAATTTTTATGTATTTTCATATCTCAGGCCTAAACTTTCATATTTACTCACATAGCGCCCAAATGTTTAATATCACATCAAAAAAAAACACTATTATCATTTTTGAAACGTGAAATACACATTTTTATGCATAGGTTGAAAACATAAAAGTGTTGAGCATGTTAATATGAAAGTTTAGGTGTGATCTATGTAAGTACGCAAAAAGTGTGTGCCGCGTATGTAAATTTCCCTAACATAAAATCGAGATTTTTAGTTGTTCCGTAGTACAAGAGATTTCTAATGCAGTGTTTATGATCCTTTAAGAATTATACAATATAAGAACCATTTTGAGCATAGTATGTTTAGTCAATAAACGCTATTGAAACTATCATCTACAAACAATATAAACAATTTTTTCTATGGAATAATAACAAGATAAAGAAAAATAAATGCTAGTTCACTCATTAAAACCAAAAGGAAAAAAAAATTTGCAAAACATTAATTAAGAAAAAAAAAATACGACGTGTTTCAAAATTCATGTACCTTTGACATTGGAACTGAAGAAGAGTCTTCCTTAGGCTTATGAACCATCAACTTATTTTTCTCCACTACGGCATTTAAAACTGTAGGATCAGTCGAACATACGAAGGGGCGAGTTAAACCAGGCTCCATCTTTAAGCACATATCATTCTCGTTCGACAAATTCGCACCGTGACTTTTTTCGTTCTGTTCAATTTCTTCTGAGCTTTCTGTTGATAGTCTGCGCACCACAAATTCAGGATTAGAATTTTCAATTTTAACAAAATTATTGTGATTTTCTTCCTTCTCCATCTCACTGTGACTTCTATGTGGCCCAGTGGCTTCTTCTGCAGCACAATTTTCAACAGATCCAGGACCTGTAAGATCTTCCAATGGAGCTTTACTTATACTTTCAGGCATTTCATTGGGCCTTGAGCTCAACAATGGTGGTTCATCTTCATCTCCAGTTTGACTAGAGATGCTGCCATCAGCACCATATTCCAAAGAGAGCTCAGTTTGCTGGTTCTGTAAAGCCTTCAAAGCACGAATCTTTTTGTAATATTCCTCAAAGTACGCCTTTTTCTTTGCTACTAAACCGGGGGATTTGACTTTTTCAAGCTCTTCCTGACGTTCGTTGTAAGTAAAAACAGATCTTTTCTCCCACGACAATGGCTCGAATGCAAATCTTCCAAAAGATATGGAGCCATGATCCATCATTTGTGAAATAGAAGGTTCCTATTACAGCATTTATATATATATATATATATATATATATATATATGTCAGTGTGACGCTATATATATGTCAGTGTGAAGCTAAAAGGAGTTGACTGAAATAATAGCATTTATGATTCATGTTAAATTCCTCCATCTACAGTGAACGAGGGAAATAATGATCCATACAAAAACATCAGCCAAGCAAGGCTAGTGGAGCAAAGATAAATACATACATAAGGTGTTCGAAAAGATAAAGGGTCAATTTGGGAAGGTTGCAACTATATGTAAAATTAACTATAGAATCACTGGGAATAAAATAGATTTGGGACATACATACCACACAATTATTATGATTTACTTATCTAAATCTTAAACATTCATATTTACATGCATACTACTGAAATCTTTAACATCACATCAAAAACACTACCATAACTATATATTTAAAAATGAAATACACCTTTTCATGCATAAGTTTATGAAAATACAGGTGTTATAAGTGTAAATATCAAATTTTGGGTGTTAGATGTGCAAATACATAAGAATTGTGTGGTATGTGTGTAAATTTCCAAAGAAGTTTTTTGAATTTTGATATAGGTATAAAAGACTTGTGCCCTTACAAAATTTTTTAAATATAATTTTCTTATAGCTACCATACTCTAGTAGATTTGGTTATGCTCCTCAGTACAAAAAAACTCTCAAAAGCAACAAGAAAGTTGTAGCCAAAGAAAAGGGTGACAATCATCTAAGAGATGAAGCTGTGAAAATAAAAAAAACAAAAAACAGGATGGACCCTAAGCTAATCTGTAATTGAAAATTTATGGATCTCCTAACAAGGAAATATAGCAAATTAAAGCAACACCAAATATAAATAATAAGTAACTCTACTTCAATAGATGTCAAAAATAAGAGGAAAAACATTCTATTCACATAACAGCTCTCCCCACCACCCAACAATTCATAATCGAAGTATGAGTGTCAAAATAACCCAGGCAAGGTAGTAAAATTAATTTTAATAAAGCAGCAAAACATTTCGCAAAAATAAAAAAAAGAACCAAATTGCACTTGGGAATGAAATCATCAAGTAAATGATTGTTACATGTATCTTATTTCGAAACATGGAAGAATTATGCCTCCTCTGAAGATGTTCAACAGGTCATTGCTCTTGTTGGCCAAAAGAAATATAAAAAGAAATGGGTGGTTCAAGGAATCAATTCTTATTATTGTTTATGAAAAAGAAGATCCTTCAAATCACCTCAAGCAATTACTTTGAGGAAGAGCAATAAGTCGCAAGAAATAGAAGTAATGAAAGAGAAAAGGAAGATTTACATGCACACCACTCAATTCCTATGTAGTTACATATCTAGCACATAATCTTCAATTTTTACATGCTTACCTTAACTATGTATCAATAGGTGTATTCACTTTTAAAAGTTAAAATGATGGTATTTTAGATGTGATATGATAGTTTTGGGTGGCATAAATATAAAAAAGTAAAATGTTGGTGTTAGATGGGTAAACACATTAGGAATTAAGTGGAATGTATGTAAACACCTCGAGAGAAAGCTACCTGAGAACCTTTTTGCTCATGCTTCCATTCATAATAATTTTGTTGAACATCACTAGCCATTTTGTGTGAACCAGCTTCCTAGTGATCCATGGCAAATTGGCTTCCTAAAGCCATTGTGCTGAAATAATAAAATATTTGACATGAGTGGGAAAAGCAAAAAATAAAAAATATTTGAAAAAAACACCAGTCAGCTTGTCAGCTTCCGAGCCAATTTTAGGGGCCATTTGGGGTCATTTTTTATTTTCATTTTATTTTTTTATGTTTTTATTTGAAACAAAACATGTTTAATATATTATAATATGCTTAGTTGTTTTTAAAAACATTTAAAAGAAACTTTTAAATGTTTTAAGTGTTTATAAAACAAGCCAATTTATCTTAAAAAAAAACTTAAGAAAATGCACTATACAAACATATTTTTAAAGTAAAAGCAAAAACAAGAACAAAAGGTATCCCAAACAAGCCCTTAGGAACCTTAAATTCCCGGGTAATGCTACATTGGTATTGAACACTAGAAAAGAAAGATAGAAATCTTCAAGACATGCAATCAAACTAACCTCATGGAAGGGCAAATTAGTTTCCATTTTAGAAAAGATAAAACAGCTTATGATAAAATTTAAACTATACTATAAGGTCCACTATTTTCAAAAAAACAGCTTCACATTTTTTATTAACAAAGCCCTCATCTTTTTACATAAATGCCTAAATATTGTTTCACTAAATCCCAACAAACCAAACAACTAAGGATGGAACCTTAAACCAAGATGACAGCAAAGGCAGTGCCAAGCAAGGGACTAATAATCATTTGACCATAGCATCATATCACCCAAAAAATTTTCAGATCAACCCCATGAAAGAACAAGCCTTAACAAAAAAATCCAAAACAATAATCAAGTAAAATAGCTTGAATTCTCACGACGCAGAGCACATGCAGCTGCTTCTGCATGATTAACAGGTGATTAAATATGTGTGCTGCTGCAGCACGACACATGCTCTCAGGCTCCCAATGGTAGCCATGTGCTGCTGGAGTAATATACAGGAGAGGCACATATTCCCTCCCTCGTTCAGAAAAAACATCCAATTTTTCATGCTGTTGAGTATTAATAGACATAATAAAATTTTCTTATGTATTTACATATCTAACACTCAAAGTTTATTTTTACATTTACAGCACTCAAATCTTTCATATCACATAAAAAATACCTCTATTTTAACTTTTAAAAAGTGAAGTATATCTTTTCATGCATGTATATCTTTTCATGCATAGATCTTTTCATGCATAGGTAAGTCACTGGCATATATATAAAAGTTGAAGTTTAGATGTTAGATGTGTAATTACGAAAGAATTGAGTGGTATGGATATAAATCTTCCTTTATCCTCTTAGAAATCCCTCATGAGCTCATCAGAAGAGAATCAAGAAGAAAAGCATTGGGCCGTGTAGACAAGAGACAAGGACAAAGAAACGCATTGCTTATTCCAAGAAACAAACAAGCAAAAAAGGTAAAGGACCCACCTTTCATGTACTCCCTCCCCCCATTTCACTAACAAGTCACAGTTACAAAAGCAAAAAATGATCCCTGCCGTTAATCAGATTGTGGGTGATTGGGAAGAAAGAGTAACATTCTTTATTTTAAAAGATATCTGAGTTATAGATCGATGGTGAGCTATAGTGCTTTTACACATCAAGCCGAGAGTCAGGGGCCCATGATATAAAAACTTTACACAAAAGAGAAACCCTAGTCTATAATAAACTATTGGCATAAAAGATTTTTGGATTCCAAACCTCTTGGCGCTTCACTTTTTCCTTAACTTGAAAAATAAAAAGTAATTTACTAGGTCAAATCACCAAACGGAACTCTTTTCCCTCCACTATTATCACTATATCACAGCTCAGGATAAAAAAACTATGACTCAAAAGGGATAAATTTTAAATCAAATCTTGCGTTGTTGCCTTTTTAACTACACCGAAAATGGTCGGAGAAAAAAGAAGTCCAAGCTCGGGATCTAGTTTTTCGCATTTCAGATCCAAAGCCAGCACAAGATGAACTGTTTTGATTTCAGGATAAGTTCTTCATCCGATTTCCGACAGTGTGAAAAAATTAGTGCTTGAATCCATGTGGTTACCTTTCGCCCGGAAGAATCCAACAAGAGTTGTGTGAAAGAAGACAAACTTCAGAAGTTGGAAGTCAGATTCCACAGAACCAAAAACACCTCCGGCTCCATTTTCTGCCTTCCGCTCTACAAAGAAGAAAATCGCTCTCTCCCTCTGTGGAGAGTGACAGCAGCCGTTGTGGACTGAGAAAATTTGGAGATGACTTGGGGAAGGCTGAAATGGGAGGAACGACGACTAAATATATAGTATGATTGATATAGAAAGCGGATAGAGGTAGAGGTAATAATGCGCATTATGGAAAACTTATTTAAATTAAGTTCACTAATTTAATTAACATTCATTCCACTTAACTCTTATTTATTTACATATTCAACCCTTAAACTTTGATCTTTTACATGTATCATACACTCTCTCTTTGATGTGATTGTAATTTTTTAAAAAAATATATTGTATAGTTGTAGTGGAGAAAATAATTAATTAAAAAATTACAATATAAGTTATAAAATACAAAAAGCAGTCTAAACATATTCTAAACAATGAATCTCACTTTTAAAAAATTAAAATAGTGGTATTATTTTATGTGATACGAAAGATCATAATGGTGTGAATATAAAACCTGAAATGTTGGTGTTTGTTGTGTAAATACATAAAATTAGGGTGGAATTTATGTAGATGTCCCTAATTGATTTCATTTGTGTTGAATTTTGAAATTTTGGTTCATTTATGTCAATTAATTCATTTGATTGTATGTATGATTTGATAGGAGTCATTTATGTTGGTTTGAAATTAAATATACTTTGACAAATTGTTGCGTTAAAGGTATGGAGTCCTTTTCGTTAGCCCATCTTCCATTTTTTTTAATGTTATTTTACAAGTATAAGCGGTGAAGTGCAAGTATTGAACAAGTTGGTTTAGGTCTGCGGGATTCAATACTAATTAAATGAGGGAAGAGGAATACTCCATCTACAATTTATCATTTTTTTTTTTCAATCTGGCTAAATTTTAGATGAGTTGAATATGATTGCTTTTGATGGTGAACATGTATAGATGCCGAAATATTTATGATAATAATATAAGTTTTATTTTTTTTATGAGTAGATATAAGCTAAGAGAGGCTCAGATAATATACAAGTTTCTTAAATGAAAAATCATGTTAAGGATATAGATGCGTAGTCAATAAATTTCTAGCCCCAGGAATAAATCTTGAGGCATTCTGAGCAAAAAAAAAATATTCGATTTTGAGATCATTCAGGTACCGATTTAGATGAATTTAAACTTAAATTAAGCATCATGACAATACAATGTTGAAGACGTTGGAAGTGATATAATCTAAATCCGAATGAGCTCATATCAAACACTTGAAGTGCAGTCGAAGGTTTTGATGCATCAGTTAGAAAAATAAAAAATCTCAAATTTTAGCTTGCTTATAATGAGATCCAATGGTTAGATAAGAAGAATCCAACGAGCTTAATATCATCTAATCATAATGTCAATGACACTTAAATTTTGAAAAAATTATATGTGATCGAGAGAGTGAATGTAGACATTCCCATTGACTTTTTTTAGATCCTCACTAAATTTGTCAAATTAAATGCTTTCTAAAATTTATAAACAGTCCACAACTCTTTATTTGATAGAGGAGATGTAAGTGAGCTAACTACTAAGACTTAACTTTCGAAGTACATCAGTTATGCCCGGTAAGCTGAGATCGCACCTGACCACTAAAGTTCGTTGTCAACCTTAAGAAATAATTTTTTAATGTCAAATATTGTTCGAGAACTTCAATCATTGTCAACCAACAATAATAGTTATTGCAGCCAATTATAGCTATTAAGCCTTCAACTGTGACTTTTGTAGCTAACATAGATGTTGTAGTCATTAACTACAACTTTTAAATCCAACTATGGTTGTTATAGTCCCCAAGTATGACTTTTATAGTCAACTATGATTATTGTTGCCAAACTAGTCGATTACGAATGTGATCGCCATTAGCTGTGACTTCGATAACCAACTATAATTGGTATAACTACCAACTATGGTTTTTATAGTTGCCAATTATAACTGTTATAACATACAATTGTGGCTTTGTTAGCTCTATTATGGAAGTTATAACAACAATCTACAACTATTATAGCTGCAAAGGCAATTATAGTTGTTATAGCCTCCAGTTACAACTTCATTTTAATCGACTATGACATTTGTAGCCCTATTATTGATGTTATAATTTATAACTATGACTTATGTGGCTAACTACGACTGTTATAACTTCAAATATATCAAAAATAATTTTTTCATCAATCTTAAGGCATTGAAAGAATCTCGAGATAAATTTTTGAGCAAAAAAAATCCACACTTCAATTATAATTGAACTAGAACTCCTATTTCAATAAACTTATAGTCAAACAAACTATCTCGACGAGACATACCCAATGATATTAGAGTTTGTCCCATTCGAGTAAACTCAAGAACATGTATTGTCGTTAGACAATGTTTAAAAGCTTTTCAAATTCCGACAAACTTGTTGTCAATTTGAGCATCTTGGCAAGAAAGATCAAATGAGACCAAGATTGACCAATTGTGACATCAATGAGTCACCACAAATGTCAATAAAATATCATATGATAAATGAAATCTCTCTGCGTCGTAAAATAGAGTGGTTTGAATTTTTTTCTTATTCACAGAGAGACATCTCTCGTACTCTATAAATATAACTCTACTTAGTCTTGAGAGGGATCGATACATGAAACCGAGGAAGGATTGAGAGAAAGAGTTGAGGCATGTTATCGTTTCTACACTAAATATCCGATGAACTCATCCTGCTCAGGTAGCCGTCGACCACCATTGACCACGTGCGTTGGTCATTGTCAACTACCATTGTCCACCTGTCGTCGTCAAATGGCTGGGTGTGGTTTAGTTTTGCGTAATATAATATTTAGAAATTATGTATTTTAATTTGAAAAAAATGGGGTCAAACTGATCCCATTGATTCCTACAATTTAGATAATCAAGCTAACCACGAGTAATGTACCACCCTGAAAGGTAATACACTACTTGATAATAAGCCCAATTAAATAGACTATATAAATAAATGACTTCTGTTTGATCTGCAAGTTTGAATGATGACCGACATATTCTCCTATTTGATATGGGAGTCAAAATAGGGTTTATTTTAAGTCTGGATTCGTTTAAGTTCCCTATAAGGGCAAACCCATATAGTTAATTACATCTTAAGTGAACTAGTCACCTAAGAAAACTCTCGATAAAAATTAGGAATCTTTTGTTTTCATGAATTTAAAAGGAAGGATTTTTAACAAACATGATTGTGAAATTTTCAATAGGGATTGGTTCAAATGTGAAATATTTATTTTAAGAATCAAAGGAAGAAGAGTAGGGGAGATTAAAGATCCATAATAGGTTCTTGGTAATCCCCCAAACTATCCTAATATTTGGCTCTATTTAGGATAATATTAATTTAAGTTAACTCTTACCAATTTTATTAATTTGGGCTTAGATTTGTGTAATTATGATATACACAAAAAACCTAGAAAGATATGAGGTTTTACATCGAGTGACTATCTCTGAATCCAAAAACAAGTTAGGACATGCTGCATATCAGGACTATGCAGGAGCCTGACAAAAAGAGAAGTTTTATGTCATAAAAGACAACATCAGAATCCTACGGATTATTTTTTAAACTAAATAAAGGTCTTGAACAAGCTTCCCACGAAGTCTGCTCCAAGTTCCTTGTTGACAAGTCTTCAAGTTCTTTGACTTTATTATTAAAAGTTTTATTTGTTTCGATAATTTTACAGTGAATTAATTAAAGGGTAATGGAGGTATAGTTCAAACCTAGGCCAAGACTAAGTTCAATTAAGCTAAGTAATTCCCTAGTGTTATGATTTCTAGGTTCTCCCTAATCTAAACAACTTTTATTTCTTCATTATTTATCCTTAACACATGCATTCTATGTTTGATAAAAGCAGTAAAAGAACATGCATTGAGATACATAAAACAATAAATATAGCAAATAAGGAAATAATGTTTTATCAAAATTTTATTAAATTTTGATTATTTAATTAATGGTGACCCAGGCAAGATGTCTATGGCTCCGTCGTCCCGAGTTGCCGGGTGCCCTAGTTTACTTAGTCTAAAAGGTGGTTACCCACCAAGACCGGAAGATTCTTGTCAACATCCATAGAATGCATCGTCCAATAAACCTTCATAAACTAGAACAAAATGGGTTAAAGTTGCATTTTGTGATCTTTGTGATTAAGAGTTGATTAATCCTTGAGTTACTTTATCGATTTTAAGGTTGAAATGTTTTAGGTTGTTTACATCTTGTGGTCAAATTTTAAGTATTTTATTTTAGTTACTTTTGTTCACTTTTTATTACTTATGTGAATTTAACAACTTCAAAGCTGACTTAACTTCAGAGTCATGTTTTAAAGTCTTGTTATGTTTGGTTTGGTTTAAGTTTAAGTTTTAATATATTCTATGTAAATGTTACCCATCCCGATGTGTTTTATTTTATTTCTTAATTAATATTCAAGTTGAGGGGTTTAGGTTTAACTTAGGTTTAAGGTTATACTTAAAAGGTTCTTTTGTGTTCAACTTACGAGTTAGGTTCTAACCTAAGGTTTAGGGTAGGTTTAACTTAAGACTAAGCTATGATTTAGGTTTATTTTACCTAAAGATTAGGGTTGGATTAGGGTTAACTTACCTAAGGTTTAGGTTAACTAATTCTGTTGGTTCAGGGTTAACTAATCTAAGGTTTAGGTTAACTAATCTTATTAGTTTAGAGTTAACTAACCTTAACTAACATATGGTTTAGGGTTAACTAACCTAAAGTTTTATGTCAACTAATCTTATTGATTTAGGTTTAACTAACCTATGGTTTAGGTTAGCTAGTCATATTGGGTTAGAGTTAACTAACATAAGGTTTAGGTTAATTAATCCTATTGGTTTAGAGTTAACTAACCTAAGATTTAGGTTAACTAATCCTATTGGTTTAGGGTTTAACTAATCAAGATTTATGTTAACTAATCCTATTGGTTTATATTTAACTAACCTCAGGTTTATGTTAACTAATCCTATTGGTTTAGGGTTAACTAACCTAAGGTTTAGGTTAATTAATCTTATTAGTTTAGGTTTAACTAACTTGAGGTTTAGGTTAACTAATCATGTTAGTTGATGTTTAACTAACCTAAGGTTTAGGTTAACTAATATTATTGGTTTAGGGTTA